GGGGGGGGGGGGGGAAACGGTGAGCCCCTGCAGGCAGCGGCAGTGCTGTCAGCGGCAGGACCATGGGGGCTGTAAGTGAGGAGCTCCCTCAGGCAGCTGCAGTGCTGTCAGCAGTGGGGAGGTGGGGGTGGCGAGTGCTGACCAGTGGTTAGTGACCACCCACAGATGCTGGTGGCAGTGTTGGTGGTGGCCAGCGGCAATCACGGACCGCCCACAGATGCCACTGGCGGTGTCAGCGGCGAGGGATGGGGTGTGGCAAGTGGCAACTGCCTGCAGGTGCTGCCAGCAGTGTCAATGGTGCCTATTTGCAGGGGGTGCACCGCTGTGCTCAGCGGGTGCAGGTGCACCTGTGTGCACCCCCTACGTGTCACCAGTGCCCCACCAGGCAAGTCAGCAGTGCTGGCACTACTGCATGGCCAGGCAAGGGCTGAGCTTCCGCAGGCCGTGTTCCAGGGTGAAACAGCATTTGACAGTAAGGGGGAGCAGGGGAAGAGGCAGAGGCTAGGCAGTTGGAGGGGGGAAGGGGCAGAGACTGGGGAAGAGGCAGAGACTGATGGAAAGGGGGAATGGGCAGAGGCCGAGGAGAGCTGGGGTTTGGGGTTGCAGGTGGGACAAGAAGAATACAGGGGAAAAAAGTGGGCAGAGCAGAGGGCAAAGGGATACCTGACCACCTCCCCCCAGCCACGGCTTTTCCTGTTATAGCAGTGGGGGTGGCATTCAAGGCCACCCTCAAATACTTAGATTCTATACCTGGAAACTTATAATGAATCTGTAATTTTTCCAAATATAGTATCTAATTATTGGGGAGTGTCATCATATTCAGGGTCATCTTGTATTTCAGTAAGATTATCTTCTGTTTAGGATCATTCAAAGATAGCAGAAAAGAAAACAAAGCTATTCTTTTCAGAGGAAGAAGCCGCACAGAATCAGAATAAAGGAAGTAGTAGTCTGTTTATATTAAAGTGATTCCAGATCATAGCAACGTGTTAGTTTTGAATGCAGACTGCCTGAACACAAATAAGGCAGGATCCTTTTGTATGTGACCACAACAAGGAGAGGCCGAGCACTGAAGAAGGTCCACAGGTGTGTAATGAATGACAGTGCTTTTTTATGACAGCAAAACTACAGAGATCTGTCAGACTTGCCTAGAAGGAAGCCAGCCTTTGTAAAGCACAAAGGAGAAGTATAAAGACGCATACTCTTTAAGATTGCTGTAATGCTGAAACCTAAGAACCTCTTAGTACCTCTAGTACTTAGCTTGCCACTAGAACAGTTAAGAGTGCACAAGCTGTTACTCACTGCAGCTCTTTTAATAAGAGCTATAAAGTATAGCTGCATGCCTGGATTTAACTTCCACTAGTTAGTAAAGCACTGATCACAAAAGTACTCAGATCTTCCATATGAAACTCCATGGAGGAGAAACCTTTTGCACGTGTCTGCATTGCGGGGGTAACTCTTAACAATTTTTTGTAGGTGATATCAACTAGTTTGTAAGTTTACTAGCAGTTATTTGCAAAGTTATTGTAGAGAGGGGCATGTTTTTATCCAGCTACAGACTGGACAGATGGTGAAGGGCATTACAGAAAATAAAATAAGCACACTATCATATTTGCATGTTTGTATGACATTATTTCTAACCAAAAGCCTCTGATATCCTTGTGCAAGAGGGAGAAGTATTATTCTCTGCTTTATGGCTGGGAAAGCAAAAGCAGAAAACTGAAATGACTTGTGTAACACAATAAATGGGACCACATTCCGGAGACAAAGCTAAGTATATGTTTGCACTGTAGTGGGGAGGTGTGATCAGTGCACAGGCATATCCCAGAAAGCTTTAAGCTAGTTGGCATGGTGATGGTACAGTGCTGAAACTTAAGTAGGTCTGCCCAGGACCTTGGGGGCCTGCTAGGATAGTTAACTTAAGTCCATGCCATGGCTTCTTCATTGTTGTTTATATCTGAGCTCTGTAGTTAAGAATAGATTGGGTATGTCTTTGTGCACGGCAATCACATCTGACAGCAGTACAGACAGAACCTGTAATTCAGGGTTTCCATGATTTCAGACTGGAGTTCACCTGTCTCCCTCTTATTGGTATCCATGGAGTTCAGTATGTGTACTAGTTTAGCAGCAAAACAAGCAATGAAATTCATTCTTTCTTTATGACAGGCTTGGTAATGAGCGAGGCTCTGTGCCGTCTGACAAAAGAAAAAATACTACAGTGTTTTCATGCCGTTGCACCATTCAAATTTGCACTTCTGTTGCAAGCTGTAAATGTATGGGGGGCGGGGGTGATCCCAAGGGGAGTATAGATCTTCACACCAATCCTGCACCAAACATTATGAAAGACGGTGATGAAAGCAAACTAAGGGAACGGCAGTGGCCCCCTTGTTTTTGGAAATGCAACTCCAATGCACTGCATATGTATTCTGCTTCAGCTATGAGAACTACACCAAACTATGTTGACACCCACACACCTCCTCAATTTCAGGATGATAGACTTCATGTCTCTCTCTTTCTTTCTCAGCTCTGCAGAGTCCTTAATAGTACAACTGTAATATGTTCTTCATCTCTATGGTTATTGCTGTTTGAAGCCTGCCTGCATGCTTAACCTTCCTTCCTTCCTTAAGACAATGGGCACAGATGGAAGTGACATTTTTTGTGTGATTTGGCCCCTGAAAGCACTCTACATCTGTGACCTGACACACGTGCATGGCTGCAGAGTGCTTCTAAAATGGCTGATCATGAAAAAAAGTAACCCTTGCCTAGTCAGGTAACAGATTAAGATGGGAATGAAGGGTGCAGCAGCAGCTGTGGGCTTGCGATGCCTGGCCTGAATCGGATGGGGCAGGAGGTAGGATGGAGCAGAGCCTCTTGCCTCTCAGCCCCTGCCAACTACCCTGACTGGGGTATTGGGGAGAGCTGGGATGGGCCTCCAGGTGAGAGGGCTGCATACCACCCTGGCCCCTTCGCACCCCTGCTCAGGCTGTGCTTGCCCACAAGAGGCCCAACTGGAGCTGGCGGCGGAGGGGGTGGGGGTGGGGGTGGTGTGCAACCCAGCTCTCTCCAATACCCCAGCCAGGATAGCTGGCTGTGGGCGAGGGGCTTCATTTCACCCCACCTCCTCCCCCATCCAGCTCAGGCGAGGCATAGTATCCCTACAGCAGCTGCTACTCCCTTCAGTCCCTCTCCACTGGCCAGGAGGGCCAGTGCAGGCAGCCTCAATTCCCCCCACAACCCAATGGGTGACCGTCTGTTGGCTTGTGGGGGGATGCTGTAACTCAGGGTGTTTATGTAAAGCACCCTGAGTTAGAGTGGGGTCCTGAATGTGTGTCAGCGCCCAGTATAGTAACCAGACTATAGAAGTAATATGGACAGTTTGTGACTACAGTTGCATAAAAAAGCACCTGTACTCTATTTTCTGTTTGCCAGTGTTAATATTTGAAGGTCTGTGAACTGAGATCATCATTAAGGGAATAAAGTCCAGGGCAGGGCTACACTCAACAATGTCCATGATTGGGAAGTACTTTCAATGATGGGCTTTGCAATTTCTGCTGAGTTTTGCAATGTTGGAGTAATCAGAAATGGAATTACTCTTCCAGCTCTTCCAAGTAAAATTGTTAAAACCACTTTACACTCTGCATCTTTCTGAAATGATTTTAGTTGGCAGTAAACACTTAGTCTGGGTGAAGTAAGTGAAAACAAATTATTCTAATTTTTGGGCCAACTGGAAAGATGCATATGCCTACTACTGTGCAGTAGTCCTATCTGTAGAGATGAATCTGGCAATATACTTTTCTGTGTTTATGGTACATAATTTCATATGCTGTAAGTAGACTTAATTGCATGACAGAGTGAGATAATGTTGTATGTGGAAATACTTTGCTCTTCCCTGTATAAAGACAAATAAAAAGGTGCTAAAGGTCATCAATAAAACTATTTTTAGACAAGATGTCGCAACCTTTTTTCCTATGAAAGAAAGTTGTCTATCAGTTTTTCCTAGTTTTTATATATGAGTTTGACATCTCTAGTTTAAAATAGTTTAGTGTTTGTA